GGCACTGTATCACCCTAGGCCAGCTGGGGAGATCCTCTGATCTCCGGGCCAGCTAACCCATATGGGTCTGGTTGCCTCACGTGCCATGCATGGCATATGTGCCAAAGGCTGCATTAAAGCTTGGAGTTGCAATTAGAGCTCCAAATTTAAGAGTTATATTCTCCAGTATATGTAGTACCTATACAGCATAGGTTGGGATTAGAATAATGGTAGTTATAGTATACAGTATCTTGAATGGAGAACCCAAACTGCAAGCGCTGACATGTACTATTACTTTATATAGAAACATCACTTTAATGAATGGTGATAATAATTAAAAATTACCCTGATTACTACCCACTACTTAATAATTTGCTCTTTTCTCTTTTTCCAGATAACTTAGCATTGTTAGCATTGTAAACTTGACGTTAACAGAGTAATCTAGCAGTAATCTGATAAATACACCATGGTTCCATACCCCTCCCCATACACAGTACCAAACGATAAGATGAAACCCTACACTTATATCCCTCTCCAATGCCCCTACTATACCAACTATCTTAATGTCCGTTGATTAAAGGCCCCAATAGTTTATAGAATCTAGCATTTAACCCATCATTGCTATCCTACCCTCTATTTAATGAATTAGTGTAACTTACCTTCACATTTGCTACTTGTGTTAAATACTAGGCAAGATTCAGCCATGAATTCCTCAGTGGAGACACAACTGCTGTTTTCTAAGAATAAAAAAAAAGAGCACAAGGATAAAAAATCCCAGTTAGCACATCTCTATGGTATGTACATATGCGTAAAATGTGCCATCTGTACATGTGATATTGACAATGCATTTTGACCTACATTGATTACATTATGGTTTGGGGACAAGTGTGTTCATAATGTGCAAAAGTTTGTCCTTCATTTGCATCATGGATGGAATGTAGATTCCTACATATTTTATCCCCCACCCCCCATGACTTCTCTCCTGCAACTATCAAAACTACCTACTAAGCCCTCAGTGAATACTTTTCTAACAACCTACCTCGTACCCCTACTTTTACCCTTTGTGTCACTATACCCCACATTGAGCAGGGCCCTCCACCTTTCTGTTCCTGTACGCCCAGTTGTCTGGTTACAATTACATGTCTGTTAGTCCACCCATTGTACAGCGCTACGGAATCTGATGGCGCTATATAAATAATAATAATATTTTTACATGACAACTCCTCTATAAATTCTCTTGCCCAGTCTTTGTCCCTTCAGGATGGAAGGTCACTGGCAAAATGCATAGTATAGTCCCTCCATGCAACACTAAATTTCATCTCACTGATCAGCATACAAACTCTGCTTCTCTAGTCTGGAAATTATTTGTTTGATTTTTTTTTCTTGTGTTGCTCTATCTGCGATTTTACTAGTTTCACGTTTTGTGGTTTGTTTTTTTTAAAGCCAATTTATAACATATTTGTAATGCTCTTGCTATGGAAGCTATATGAGCTAATGAAATCAGATACACCAGAAGGAACCTATTAAAACCTATACTTTTTACTATTATTACAAACTTTATTATAACTAGAATGTTTAACAAATTGTTCCTTCCAAAATAAATTACTAAAAGCAATTATGGTATTGAGAATGACCATGGTGTTTTTATTTTCATTGAAAGTGTTTTATTGCACATTGCTATGACATTTTATATGTTTTCTTATGTTAGCTGATTTGATTCTTCTGCATATTTTCTCACCCATCTCACAGCATGGAAGACATAATAATTTATTTATATGCAAAACACTGCACTTGTAAAGTAAACATTGTTGAGAAGGCTGGAATTACAGCTCTATAAAGTAAAGCCTTTTTTTAAAATCTATTATATGTTTAAATCTAAAACAGAGTGAATCAGAAATGACTGCCAAAGCTAATTTGGCTACATAATACCAATATGTTTTCTGCTTGGATCAATGCACTCCATCAATTAAAAATATATATTTCGTTCTTTAATATATTTTTTTAGTCACTCAATAAACAAATTGTCA